CGAGCCCGCGGGCTCAGGCAATCCACTCACCTTGGCCTCCCAAAGCGCTGGGATTACAGGTGCGCTTACCGAGCCCAGTCCTTTTTAATATTCTATGTGAGAAAAATGGGAAGTACACTTAAATCACTTCTGGTGCATACCCAAATATAATGGTTGATTATGGGAAAAAGCATTTGGGCATCTGTTTGTGTTGTGAGGTGAGCTAGCCGTTTTTTCACAGAATAATATTTTAACTGAAAAGAATAACTGATAGACAAATTATGCACATTCAGCCGGGCTCGGTGGCTCAGCCTGTAATCCCGCGCCTTGGGAGGCTGAGGTGAGTGGATTGCCTGAGCCTGCAGGTTCAAGACCCACCCGGGCAACTTGGCGAGACCTCATCTCTACAATAAATCAAAAAATTAGCCGGGCATGGTAGCGTGCGCCTGTAGTTCCAGCTACTCGGAAGACCGAGGCGGAAGGATCGCCGGAGTCCAGCAGGTCGAGGCTGCGGTGGCTGGGAGCGTGCCACTGCACTCCAGTCTGGGCGACAGAATGGGACTCCAACTAAAAAAAAAAATAAAAAAAATAAAAAATAAAGGTTGTTAATAACTCCTATATCAAGAAGGTCAAAAGTGCCATTTAACCTATGTAGCCCATGGCAGCTGGATCAACTGCTTCTTGCTTGGTTGCAAAATTTCTTTGGCTCTGAAAGAAGAATGGTATAAAAACTTAGCTCCAAGGGCCACACCACTACCAGGCAAACTTTTGGAAGCTAATGTTTCAAGATCATTCTTTGCCCTTTGAAGATGACAGAAGCCAAATCCCAAAGGTCCTAAAATAAGCCCAGTTAGTCCAGGTATCAAGTAGGAGAAAACTTTTTTTTTCCTTGCCTCCTACATCTCCCCTCCTTTCCTTAATCTTCTTTACCTCATCACTACTTCTGTTCTCTCACTTTAAATTGTGTGATATTGTTGTCTATAAATCTCAAATCCTTGATACTAAAAAAAAAATGTGTTTGAGACAGGGTTTCACTATGTTGCCTGGGCTGTTCTCAAACTCCTGAGCTAACGGTATCCTCCCATCTTGGCTTCCTGAGTAGCTGAGACTACAGGCACATACCACTGTACCCAGCTTAATACAATTTTTTTATGAGAATGAAATTGTAAGAAAGTTTGAGAGTACAACAACAACAAAAATGACCTAATCTAAAATGTAATTTGGCAATCATTGATCTCTGAGGAAACATCTTAAAGAAAATAAAGTAGGCCAACAATTTAAATCGTTGACTGTACCCTCTACAAAGTAAAGGATGGTATATTGTTAAAAGCACCAGCTTTGGAATCAGACAGACCAGGGTTTGCATACCAGCTCTGCTAATGTGTGTAACCTTGAGTGGGTTACCTATTAGTGTATGCACTCATCTATAGCATTGGGAATACCACTTATCTCATAGGGTTTTATAAGGATTTAAGGAGATAAGCCTTTGGAATCATTCCTGTCTTTATTTTTTAAGCCAATCATTTAGCAAACAGCAACTTCCCCATGGAAAAAAACACAAAATGTACTTATTTCTCACTCATCATAGCCCATCTCCACCTTCAGTACCTTATGGGAAGAAAACAGTTTGGTTAAAAATGTCTTTGAATAGCAAGATTCTGGAATTTATTTGTAAGTCTGACTTCAGAAAATTCCCTAATGTTCAGAATCCTATGGCTTCCTAAATTCAGGAGCTATAAACGTACTATGGTTAAGCTAAAGGAGAATCATTCTTGTAGATGAGACCAACCAACAGAGTTGTAGGACACTCACTCTCATGAAATACCTTGGAGTCGTGGCTGTTCTCTTTGCCTCCAGAAGAAGGAATATGACTAAAGCATGGATGAGAGATGACTCGTCCCTGAAAACCTTCTCAAGTGAATAATGACTAAATTTAGATGCCCTTCTATCCACTCTATCTGCAGCTGTGCTGCTGACTCATTCACAACTAAAGCATGGTAGATGAGCAGTTTCGCCCATTTATAAAATTGTGTCCAGGGACATGGACGTCAACACCATGCCTCTACATAGAGCTATGCTAAACCTTCCAGACAAAGGTCTTTCCTTTTTTGGGGAAGCAGGCTAAACAAGCTTTTGATGTTACCCATAACAACAATGGGGTAATTCTTTGACTTTAACCCAAATTCCTTCTGTTGTGGTTTAAGTCCATTTCCTTCTATTTTGTATTACTGAAGATACACAGAATATTATTAAAGTAACAACTTGTTCTAAGATCCTTAAGAAATGGAAATGTGACTTAACTATTAGTCCAAAAGAACTATTTATAAAAACAGTGAGATAAGAAGTTAAAACTCCCTAAAATCAGCATTTCTCTCATATCTGTCTGGCAATGACAATCTTCAAGGAAAAATACTTAATTTTGCCAATAAAATGTAGAAAGAGTACTGCGATTTCTCTATTGTATCTGATACTGCTCTCTCTATATCAAAGGCAAAAATGGTTGATGGTTGATCAGTGCCAGAGTTAAATCTGGGAGTGCAGAGAAGACCTTGCAAAACAAAGCCTCCTTGGTTCCCAAAATAGTCTGCAACTGTCACCGCCACCAAGTGCTGACTTTCAGAGCTGACCTTGCTGTTGTGTCTCAGAATATTGCTAAAACTACCTGCCTCAGCCTCAGAACAACTCTCTTCCCCACAAAACCCAACTCCAGGTTCCTGGCAAATGTTACACTAGAAGCTGGTTGTAGTGCAGCCTAACACC